TTTTAGACAGTATTTGAAGTATTAAAAACTGGAAATTTAAGTAAGTATATATTTTATATTCATTGCATCCCTAATAGTTGCATCATATAGGTCTATAATATTAGTTCTTCTTTTACATTCACAGGCTAGGCTTGTATGAGGTTCGAGATGATGACCCACTGGTTCCCACTCCTAAGTTTCCCCCAGCCAGAAAGACAGGCTGACATGTGTGGGAAGAAATGTCATCATAACATGGATACAATCTGCATCCTAAAGTCTAAGGATTTTCAAGATATGTTTCACACTGAATTTGGTTGAAACATTTGTAAAATACACCTATTCAACTACCATGGGACCTTCTAAACCATCCATCAACTGTGGTTTGTTGATATCTCAACAACATATCACTTTTACACATTTCTAGGACTACTAATGTGCATGTCAACTGTACAAGTCCTCAGTGTACAAAAATACTTGTCAACAGCAACAACGTTTCACTACTACCATGAATTGTGGGCTCATGCTGTATCCCCAAAACAGATAAATTCAAATAAGACATTCTTCAAAGTTGATAATATTGAAACAGACAATGAGGAAAAACTATGCAAAGTGAACTTGTCAGACTTTATCAGAAGTAAATAAAGATAAAAACCAAAGCAATGTGATATGATGTGATGGATAATAATTTATATTATGTTCAGGGGAGAGAAAATTAGACAAGCCTCACTTATTTCAAATAATATGACAGCAAATGGATTTTCTTTTGTGAACAAAACCAAAACTGATGGTGTCTTTCTAGGCAATTATTGGGGAGACAAACCAAATATTGTCGAATCAGATTTTGAAATCATACAATTCATATTCTAAGTAAAGAGAACAGCACTGGACCAATCCCTTTTGCCATTTTGTTGATAATGACAGCTATAATCTCGTCAGGATTGTTCAAAAGAAAACTATGATATAGATGAACTGAAGCTACCTGACATTTTATTCTCAACTGACTTCATGGAGGAAATTATTTTAGCATTTGATGATTTACTGAAAGTGATGCAGTTCCAAGTGCTGCAAATGTAAATAACACCAAATACAATCTAAATGCAATAATTCCTGATTGCATAGATTTTAAAAGCCATTGTCAGTGTGCTAGTGCTTTAAATTAGGAATGCTAAGAAAATAAAATTATAAATCAAATATAGCGCATGGTAAATTTATCTTTGTTAAAAAAACAAGAAACTTTCTGACTAACAGTACCATGAAGTTTAAAATCTCTATTATTTTTTAAAATCTTGAAGTAATTTTTAAAAGGTAAAATAATAATAACCTGTAATTTTT